GTTTACCTCCACTAAATTGGCATAAATATGGATACTCAAACGGAAATATTGTTGAGTTCAGACTTACATTTCAATGAACAACTAATTTTTTTATTTTTTTATTATTTGTCAATTATATTGGGTTAATTAAATTTGTGAAAATTGAGACTGAGTCCTCTTTATGAGACTTATAATGACTTGAGTCCGTCAAAGAAATTTATTTGGTAATAAATCTATTTTTTTTATCTTAATAATAAATAGTTAAGTCCACTAATTTTTTAAACCTCCAAAATGTATTTCTTAAAATGTTTCAATAGTATCAAACATTAATTCTGATTTTTAATTGGGAAACACTCAAATTCTTTTTTTTTTCATTATTCATTTACACTCAGATTCTTTATTCCTTAATTCTACTCTTAATTCATGCTCATAAAATTTGACCATAAAATCTAAAATTTAGATTCATGATCCACATTATTCTAATTATTCCCCATCAATTCTGAGTTTTTTTTTTTTCCACCATGAACAAAGATGTTGTCGCAAAAGCTCACCACCAAAAACACTCTTGATTCCATTAATATGCGCCCACCACAAGCAGAGTTTTGATTCCACCCAAATTGCCCTCAGATTTTGTCAAAATGCCAAGTAGAATTGTACACTAACTCAGATTCAACCACCTCGAACATAGTGGATATGTTTACATTTGTACACGTGGATCGTGGCGCGTTGTCCTGTTATTGTTGTTTGTTAAGACTATTGTTATTGTATTATTTGTTAGGTCTCGAATGAGTTAGTTGTTTATTTTTGTGAAGAATACGATATTGTACCATTACAATTTTTTTTTCATATTACTATTTATGTTTTGTTGTACTTGTGCATGTTATTACTTTTTTTCATGTTACTATTTTTTATTGAGTATGTTACTATTTTTTTTGGTAAGCATGTTACTGTTAATATTAAATGTTACTATTTTTTTAAAAATACAAATATTCAATGTTACTATTTTTTTTCAAATATTAATATACAATAATACTATTTTTTATTTTTGAATGTTACTATGTTTTTGTGTTTAAATTTTAATATTAAAAAATACTATTTTTCTGAAATATCAATATTGAATGTTACTATTTTTTATTGAGTATGTTACTACGGTTATTTTTTCAAATTTTAATATAAAATATTACTATTTTTTATTTTTGAATAATACTATTTTTTGTGTTTAAATAATACTTTTTTTTTTTGTATTTGAATGTTATTATTTTTTATTTTTAATGTTACTATATATATATTATTATTGTCTATGTCTGAAGGTACAGAGAAATAAAAAATGATAAATAATAAACATATTTGTATTCATATCTAAAATCAAATCACAATAGAGAATAGATAAAAAATTTAAGCATCGGTTTGTAGTAAGGGTGAGAGGTGGTGGGTGACAATGGTGGTGGTAGGAGACGGTGATGGTTGTGGTGGATGACAATGATCCTCGAGGTGGTGGTGGTGCGGTGGCGACGACGACGACAGTGGTGGCAATAACGGCGATGGTGGTGACGGCAATGACAGTGGTGGTAGCGGTGACGGTGGTGGTGGCGGTAGTAGAGATAATGGTGAGACGATTTCAAACACTAATTTTTTTTTAAAGTATTTATAAGAAATAATTTCTAGAAGTACTTTTAAGAAGTCACTTCAAACACACACTTAGAGACTTATTTTTTCTATTAAATTTAAGGTATTAATATTAGCCGTTAGATTAACTTTAAAGTAAAATTTAAAACGATCTCAACCGCAAATAGCAAAAATCATTTTATTTATCTTTTGAGATTTGAATTGTAAACTACTTTATATATATATATATATATATATATATATATATATATATATATAATAAAGCATATGAGAGATTGAACTTATGTAGGGCATATTTTTCTCCTAAATTTACATATTTTTTCCATAAATTTCAAAAACTTAACACACATTTTACAACACACAGCTGTACATATATACACACATTCCAATGCATGTATAATGTAATAATTCAGTGTACAATGACTTTAGTCACGAGTATCGCTAGTATATATATATGAGATATAATCCTACTTATATATGAGATATAATCCTAACTTATATATGAATATAGATAAATACGAGAGAATAAATTTTTTAATATTAGTCAAACTCTTAAAATTTAAAAAATTTTAGTTTTTAATTTATTTGATTTTTAAAGGAAATGAAGGAAATGAATATTTTGATAAAATTGATAAAAAAAAAGACTTCATAGTAAATAAATTTTTTTGGCAAACTTAAATACAAAAAAGTTTGTATAACGAGACGAACTTTAAAATTTTTCATTAATTTTGATTTGACTTATATTTATGGGCCATGTTAATTTGAACAATTGTTGTCTTAATGAGCTGGATTGTTAATGCAAGTCATTATGGATGAGCTAGGCTTGTCTATAAAAGAGAGCCTAGCAAAGCATAGCAGATACAAGTTTTGTAATATACCTCTCTATTTGTAATATATCTCTCTACATGTGCAATCCTTCAAATTTATAGATAAGCATACGGTACTAATATGTGTATCAGCTGATCGGATTTGAATCGTATTTTAATTAATTCAAATTTGATTCTAAAAGATTAAAAGTTTAATTTAAATTCAATCTGATTATTCAACAAATTTTATTTTTATAATCCATATTCAAAATTGATAACAATTCAAAATTTAATCCGATTTGAATTCCTTAATTTAACTAAAATTTAACAAATTATATCTAAAATTTTTCAAATAATTACTTAATTTATTTAAAATTTATATAAAAATATATACATATTTCAAATCAAATCATAATTGAAATGAATATAAGTATATCCAAATTCAAATATGTAAAATATAAAATATAAATTTTAGGTCGAATTTGAATCAAATTTCGATCTATCAACAATCCTAGGTACTAAGGATGCAAAGCGTGACAAAATATTGATCCCCAATCCAACTATTGATTAAAAAACATGAAGAAAAAAAAAAGAAAATTTAATAAAAAAAGTTACACGTTATACATTTCTATTAAATGAAGAGTAAATGTATAGTAAATTTTGATATCATAGTAGAATCCCATATTAATTACTAGTTATTATTTGTATCTGAAAACACAGAGTAATAAAAAATGAGAAACAATAAATATATTTGTATTTATATTCAAAATTAAATTACAAACATAGAAGAAAGATAAATGAATTTAAATATCGATTATAGTGAGAGTGAGAGGTGACGGTAAGAGACGGTGATGGTTGTGATTGGTGACAATGACCATGGTGGCGTTGATGGTGGCGGTGGCGATGGCGACAGTGGTGGTAGAGATAGTGGTGGTGAGAGTAGGGGTAGTGGTGGGGCGGTTTCAAACACTATTTTTTTTAAAAGTACTTAAAAGAAATAATTTTTATAAATACTTTTACAAAGTCTTTCTAAACACACATTTAAGGACTATTTTTTTCTTATTAAATTGAGGGTGTTAATATTAACGATTAAATTAATTTTAAAATAAAATTTAAAGTGATCTGAACTGTGAAAAATAAAATTATTTTGTTTATCTTTTGAGATTTAAATTGTAATTTACTTTATTACATAAATAAGGTGTGAAAATAATTTTTTTTTTAACGAATAAATGAAATGATGTATAGCATATATATTTTCAAGAAAAAAAAAAAAAAAGTGGACACTGGATATTAACGTTGAGCCTCCACAGAGCACTTCCGAGTGGCGCGTAACACGTGATCACAACCATGTGGCTCCCGCCACGTATATATGGTCTATCTTCCATTAGCTCACACGACGCCACGCGTACATATGTTCTTCCATAAACCGCAAAAAAATCTTTCATTGAAATTTAGGCTTATGTCTCACCAGAAATCAGATCTGTACAGATCAACATAAAATACAAATTCCATTTTATTATCTCCAAAATACCCTCAAAACTCCTGCTCTGCTCGATTAATTTTTTAAATTATTAAAATTTGAATTTAGATCATTTAATTTTATAACTCTGAACTACTCGTAGGAGTAATTTTATAAGAACTTATCTGAAACTAGATTAGTAAACTAAACAAAATGAAAATTGTAAAAAAAAAAATTGCATGCTATAATAGAAAAACACATTTATCATGTTAAAATCAAATTATTTATAGATAATACTATCATCATTAATTTTATCATTTATGTCAATTAATTGTATTGTAATTAGTTGCCATGAATTTGGTATGAAGTTAATTGGTAGCACAACGGAAACATATATGAATTATAAATTTAGACATTTTAAATTCAAAATTTGACAGATAGTTTGAAGTTAGTTTATGAAAGATTTTTGTTTCTCATGAATTCTTTAGTCCCGACATAAATGATCTAAGAGTGTCAAAACATAACATGATTCGTTAACACGATACAAACACGAAACAAAATTAGAGAGTTTGAATTTTCTTAAACCATCTATTTCGTAAAAGAGTGAATCTAATACGGAAAGCTTAATAAACCAATCGGATATGGATAAAATCAATTAAAAAAAATACATGACAGACTCAGTTATATAGGAGTCATACACAATACATGAAGTACGTATTAGCGAAGTAATTTTTGACACAAACTTGCTAAAATCTAACACGAGTCAATCTCATCTAATACGATTGATGCGGTAAGATGACCTACTTTGACCAAATTAAGAAAAAAATTAATCGAATTATACGTAAATTAATCTACATATCCTAATCGTAAAAAATAATAATAATAAAAAAAAATTGGTAATAGGTTGTGTTACCGTGTCGGCTGAAAATCTCTTCATGTCTATTTCGGTAACTTCACGGCCAGCATAGATAAATGGTACATCCCGTAAATAAACATGCGGGATTTCACAGCTGCCAGTGTCTTCGTCACTTCAAAAATTCCTGATTTTCAGAACACTTGTTGGATCACTTAAACAATCATAACTATCAAAATTTTGTCGAAAATTTTTTCTGGGAAAATTTTGAAGGAAAATGCATTCATTAAGTCCCAAGGTAATCTCTGATTTCAATGCGGGGACGAAAAGTTCATGGTTGAGTCGACTCAGCAGCGGAGTCGCCGAGCTCGAATCGGGGACGAGAAGGCAATGGTTGAATTGCAGATATCATATGAGAATATGTAAAATCGTAGCCTGTACGCCGGAGAGAAATATTGGCGGTGGTGGTGGTGGAGAGAGTGGGAGTCGGGGTGGTAGTTCGAGTTCCTTTCTTTCGCGGAGTCAAACTTATGCTCTGTTGAAACAGCAAATGGAAGTTGCTGCGAAATCCGAGGTCAGTTCAGACTTATTTATGCATGCATATATGTTTACATGTGTACATAATATCTGTATATTATTTTATCGATTTTGAATTTTCGGTTGATTTATAGTTGGTGTCTATGTTTGATGAAATTGTATAAGTATTGTTTAGTATTAAGAACGATTTGAATGCAGGATTATAAAGAAGCAGCGAGGCTGCGAGATTCATTGAAATTGTTTGAGGAAGAGGAGCCAATTTTGCGTCTACGGAGATTGTTGAAACAGGCCATTGCAGATGAGAGGTTTGAGGTACATGTTGCTTCTATAGATTGGGCTTTCCAATTTCGATGTGTATTTTTCAGCTTGTAATATGTGAATATGAGATATTGGAATGGTGGGTTCATAGCATATGGCATATGCTTTCAGAATCTGGGAAAGGAAAGCTACCCAATCCCTCAAAAGAAAAAAAAAATTGTAGTAAAGATAGAGTACATGTAACGCAAAACTAAATGATGAAAATCATTTAGATGAAGAATCAAGCTAGTTTCGGTTCAACCTTAGGCAGTGATCCCTGTGATTAAAATGAACTGTATCATGGGCTAGTCTTTTCTTTGACAAGGCAAAGTCTGATATGCAAAGCTATTTTTCCAGTAGAACTCTCATCAATAAGCTTTAAATTATTTGCATTGGCTTTATGAAAACTATTTTCAGCCAGTCCCTGCTCATTCGTTTTTTGTAACCTCTGAAGCTAGACATCATTAAACATGTCCCTTATTCATGTTTTGTGTTTTTGTCCTCGCAATGAAGGAGTGTTGCACATGGATTGCTGGCTTGACCATGCCAACTTATTCAATAATTGGGATCACTAGCTCTATTTGGGTGTATGGATCTTTTGCATATACCCCAGTCTGCTATTGTTTTTATCAAGCATTACAAATGCATCGAGAGCTGAGTATTTATTCATAATGAGACTGGGAACCGAAAAATATGCTTATCTGACTGTACATTGCTAAAAAGGATGCTTATCTGAATGTAGATTCTGTAGAAATGGCTACATTTTATGCTACAGGAAATAAACTCTTCGTTCAAAATCTGATTCAAATGCATGAAGAATTCTTTATTCCATGTTTTGATTGGCACCGAGAATCTATTCTAGACTATGGCTGGTAATCTGTGAATTTTCATATGGTTCACTTGTATCTGTTAACTTTCCAATGGTCTATTGTCCTATCTTTTTTTATTGTTCTTCTTCTCCTCCAGGATGCAGCAAGGTACCGTAATGAGCTAAAGGAAATTGCTCCCCACTCTCTCTTGACATGTTCAAGTGATGCAACCACCTTGGTATGATCAACATCCGGCTCGTTGAGTCTTTTGGGGAGCAGATCTGCATTACAAAATTAGCATTTGACTTTTGTAACTGCTATTAGGCATTGTTTTGACTTCTAAACATTGCGTGTGCTAATTATGCTGGGCCATTCTATCATGTAACTTCCATTGCCAAATAGGTATCCATCTGAAGTTAAATATCAGTTTGTAGAGCTGAGTTTTGAACGAGCCGGTTTACAAACCAATCTTGGACACCTGTAGGAGGAAGCATAAAACAAATTTGAGAATTAAAAATGAGAAAGGAAACCCGGATGTTGCTCTATACTTCTTGCCTTGAATGTTCAAAATGTTATGCTTTCTTAATTCTACCACGACGTTACTTAAAGGAATGTGCATATTTATGGAATAACATGGGTTTTTTTTCTCCAGAAACATGTATTGATGTCCCTTTTCTTTTTAGTGTTCTAACTTGAGGTTCTTTAGGAGATGAATTGGTGTTCCATCAAATTGACTATAGCCCTTCTTATTTTCCATTTATTCTGATTTGGCTCTCAAACATTTGTCACATGTTAATTTTTTTTTTTGGCGATGTTATGTCTAAGATGATTTTGAGAAATGTCATCATTTTATGCATATATTTGGTAGTATCATTTCTGTTGAGAGCATAGAGATAGTTAGTAAAAGCTGATTCGCTCATTGTGTTCGACTTGATTTGATAGTCCGTCCTGGTTGGAATCTGAGGCGAGAATTCTGATGTTAATCAGCAACTCTGGCGTTAAACTGCTCTGGATGTGGGATTCTAGGTTTATTTGTTTGAACTAAGGGGGTTTTCAGCAACTAGTAAAGTGAACTTATTCAGTGAGAAAGATTGCATTAGAACATAATGTTTTCTTTGATGTCTCTGTTGGTTATCAGAACTCTCAATGTCCACCGCAATTATTTTCTCTAATTTGAGCGTAATATATACCTGCATAATTTTATGCAAAAAGGGGAACCGAGGAAAATCCATGCAAATTCTTAGTTTATGGCTTCTTGGATGAATGTGTATGGGTATTGCGTCACTGCCAGAGGTTGGTTGACAATATAGACATTATCATAGGAGCTCAGATTGGCTAGGTGAAGGTGTAACTACTTTGTTGCATCCTTCATATCTGAACCTCAAATCCAAAGTTCTATCTCACTTTTGATAAAGCTTTTGCCTGAAATTTTGCAATATGGGGGTATATTTAAATCTTCGCTTTTTCAGGGCATCAGGGTTCAAGTTAGGAGTGTCTACATTGAAGGCCGAAGTCAGCCCTCGAAAGGCCAGTACTTTTTTGCATATAGAATAAGAATCACCAATACTTCAGACCGCCCAGTTCAGCTTCTCAGAAGGCACTGGATCATCACCGATGCCAATGGGAAAATTGACAATTTTTGGTGAGTTGCTCTTTCAAATGACTGAATTTGATGTCATGAGTCTGGATGCAGTTACTACTTACCTTAAGCTATTATCTTGTGTCCTTTTTCTTGTTTATTTATTTTGGCATTTACGTTTCCTTGTCACAGGGGAATTGGAGTTATTGGTGAACAGCCAGTTATACTTCCCAATACTGGTTTTGAGTATTCATCTGCATGTCCATTAAGCACTCCTAGTGGGAGAATGGTATGCTGGGTGACTTTTATTTCTGTGTTTGTTCCTTGAAACTAAATTGGATATTTTTTTCCCAAACAAATTGATGAAGCCAACCTTTTAGCCTTGCTTAAGATGACCTAGAGATGAGTAACACGTGTTGCGTGAATGATGTATATCATTGTGATGGCAAAGAGTTGTAATGATAGGTGCCACTTACCATCGTACATACACAAACTTAATAACTGTAGCAAACTGGTAGTGCATATGAGTCTATGACCAAATTCTCCCAAGAGGTTGCATAGTTCTTGAAGATTTTTTCCTGCTTTCCTGTACAAAGAACTAATAAACTATTGGTCCCCTGGAAGTGGTGCTTTGGCCACACCCACTTAACTCACTGAGATGAACTGCAGTTCCTAATAGGGTCTGCCTTTGCAAAACTCTTGCACATGTATCTCCGTGCAAGTATAATTGATTAGTTCTGGTCCCAGAATGGTCATTTTTGTGAGCATTCACATTACTTTTTCGTTCTGTTTTCTCTGTAGTTTCTCGTAAATTCTTACTTATATAGTTATGCTACCTTGCAGGAGGGTGACTTTGAGATGAAGCATATTGATAAAGTAGGCTCACGGACATTCAACGTGGCTATTGCTCCCTTTTCTCTCTCCACATTTGGGGATGGTACTGATACTTTTTGAGTTATAAACGGTGGAACTATTTAGGAGACACTAACATATGATTCAAATGTGCTGTATTCCATGGAATTGATGGGCCAGAGTGCTACGCTACCGTTTTGGAGAAGTACACATTAAAGCCAACATGTGTTGCTGTGGCAAGTTTAAGAATTTCATTATCATCCCGTTGGCAAATTTCTACTGTGAGATATGAATGGAAAGATCAACTGTGAGATATGAATGTAAAAATCGTGTGACTATATGTAGTGGAAGTTTGATTTGAAACTCCCAACTGGAGAATTAACTTTTTTTCCTGATTTTATATTTGGGAATCACCAAATACATTTGGTAAGGGCTTTTATTGTTTGTGAAAATTGATTTTTTTGTCAAATTTTATGTTCTTAGGAACATTCTAGAATTGAAAGCAGCAGGCAGGTTCATATTAGCAGTGAATTAAATCATACGTTTCTTAATGCCTTTCTGAGCATAAACTTTGCTGCATGTTTTCAGAAATCAAAAGAGTTGCTAGAGAGCCTAGGTTTATAAGCAGGGACATAATTAAATTAGAAGCGTCTTTGGTTGCTTCATGCCAATATGGTGTCTCTTGAGTTGTGGCAGACTGTCTTTCAAGTTCTCCATTTGAATCTCTCTCTTTGTTAAGCCTGAAATACTGTACAGAACGAATGACTCAAGTGACGTTGCTGTTTGGCAATTCTAGTGTTAGTTACCTGAATAAACTGCTTACTAACATGCAGCCCTTGCTTATAAACTTGTTATGTTGCAATTTGCCGCTGGCATACAGTTCAGTGCTTCTTCCTCTTGCATTTCTTGAAATTTGAGGAGCTAAGCTTGATTGCACTTGTAGTCTCAAGTGATTCCAATGAAAGGTATGGCTTCTGCCACATCTCTCTCTCTCTCTCTCTCTCAGTTCGGAATTAGGATGTTTGTGTGTGATGATGCACAAAAATGGTTTTGCACACCACCTGTCAAGTATAGATAATAAATGCAATGAAATCAACGAAAAAATTAGAGAAGACACAATTTATAGTGGTTCGGTCAATTCGACCTACGTCCACTCTTCAATGGCTTCAGTCGCCGGGTATTTTATTGATTCAAAGGTATGGAGAATGGAGATACAAGCTTTGAGAGGGAGAATGGAGAATCAAAGAATATAGTAATCTCCGGTAGTCGGTTCGTCTTCTGTAAGTCTCTGATGGAGCATGTGTCTCTCCTCTCCCAGATTAGAGCCATTTTATAGTAGCTAAGAGATCATTCTTGTGGAGATCATGACATATCCTCAAGACTTCTTTATCGCAGCTTAGAGATTATCTTTGGTGGAGATCGCGACTTATCCTCAACGGAAGGAAGAGGTTGGGGAGCTCTTCATGAAACGTGGTCAATGATTGGACCGTTTTCTTCCTCCGGTGGTGTGGATAAACTTCCCGTGCTTTCCTCTTGGTGACGTGCTAAGCAAGAAGTCTAACCGGCCTTGGGCTGTTTCCTTTGGCGGTGCAGATAAACTTCCCGTGCTCTCCTCTTGGTGACGTGCTAAGCAAGAAGTCTAACCGGCCTTGGGCTGTTTCCTTTGGCGGTGCAGATAAACTTCTCGTGCTCTCCTCTTGGTGACGTGCTAAGCAAGAAGTCTAACCGGCCTTGGTCTTGATGGTCTCTTGGTGACGTGCTAAGCAAGAGGTCTAACCGGTCTTGGATTGTCTTGGGCTTGGTAGAATCACAATAAGGTTGGGCTCCTCAATTGGGGTTGGACTTTAACACATAAATTGGACTATTTGGGCTTAACCCATCATTTGCCCCCCAATGTCCCATGTCCAAGGAGACTTGGAGAAGGAGACATTGATTACATTTTTTTTTTTTTAAACTTCAAATCTTTCCCATTTGATTTTGAAGAGGGAGTGGTGGAGGTTGAAGAAAGGGAGACGGCTAGGCGCGCGATTGGGCAGCGCAGGCGCGCTGGGCGCGCGGCTGGGCAGCGCAGGCGCGCTGGGCGCGCGGCTGCGCAGCGCGCGCGCGCAGCAGGGCAGGGCAGGCGCGCTGGGGGCTTAGGCGCTGGGGGCCTGGGCGGCTTCCTAGGCTCTGCTCCTCGCATCCTGGACAGCCCAGGCACGCTGGGCAGCTGCCTAGGCGCTGGCCTTGCTGTCCTGGACAGCCCAAGTGCGCTGGGCGGCTTTGGAACGCTGGGCAGCAGCATTTTTTCATCAAGGGGCGCTGAAAATCAGTCCGAGGTTCGTCAGGGAGAGCTAGGCAGTGGCCTGGGAGCACAGGCTGATCCGATTCTCACTCGAGGCGCTGATTTGGGCCCCTTAGGTGCTGATTTATGCGCCGAAAATTCTGCTTTGCGCAATTTTGAAGGGCCAGACACCCTTCAAGCTACTGGGCAACTTTGTTTTGACGAGCAACAGCAGTCAGACACATTTCTAGGCGTTAGGCTAGACATTGCAAGTAGTAAGGAAGCTTTGGGTGCTGCTCTTGATGATCAAGCCCTTCTCCAGGTGCTGGGCGCCTTGGGTGACCCTGGGGCTACCTCGGGAGAGCCTGCTTGTGATGACAAAAATAATGTTATTCCAAATATTAAAATATCTCACATAATTATCTGGAGAGAGAGAAGTAGGCTGCTTGCGCGAGAGCAAAGACAAAGTTGGAGAACTGCTCGTCAGAGAGCTACACTTTTTGAGACCTAGCTTTTGGCGACCCATGAGGGAGTCTTTAAGCTTGAGGTATAAGTTTCTTGTTTGAGAACAGTGCAGAGGCCAAGCTTTTTGGCGACCCGTGAGAGAGCCGCCAAGCTGGAAATAGGCTGCCTGTTTGAGAACAGTGCAGAGGCTAAGTTTTTTTGGTGACCCGTGAGAGAGCCGCTAAGTTGGAGATAGGCTGCCTGTTTGAGAACAGTGCAGAGGTCAAGTTTTTGGGCGATCCGTGAGAGAGCCGCTAAACTGGAGATAGGCTGCCTGTTTGAGAACAGCGCAGAGGCCAAGTTTTTTGGCGACCCGTGAGAGAGCCGCTAAACTGGAGATAGGCTGTCTGTTTGAGAACAGTGTAGAGGCAGGTCAAGTTTCTGGTGATCTGTGAGATGATTCACCTTGCCTAAACTTGTTGATTTCCTCAGCATTCATATATCTTTGAGCTTTTGTGAATAGTTCTGGCATGCTCTTCGGTGGGCGCTTCAGAACTGAGAAAAGGAAACTTGATGAACGGAGGCCACCCAAGAAGGCGGTCATCGTCACCTTGTCGTCGGGTTCATCAACTTGGAGTACCTCCTCGTTAAAACGAGTGAGATAACTCCTCAGGCTCTCCTCGCGGTCCTGCTTTATACTAAGCAGATGCGTAACTGGCTTCTGGTGGCGACGCCCTCCTATGAAGTGTGAGACGAATGATCTGCTAAGCTCGGCAAAAGAGGTAATAGAGGCGGGGGAGAGCTTAGCAAACCACTGTCGGGCAGACCCTTTTAATGTGGTTGGGAATGCCCTGCACATGATTTCGTCTGGTACGTTGTGCAATTGCATCAAGGTCTTGTAAGTGTCGAGGTGGTCCAGTGGATCCCTTGTTCCATCAAAGGTCTCCACAGATGGCATTTTGAACTTCTGAGGGAGGGGGTAGTTTGCTACATCGGGTTTGAAAGGGGTATCAGTACGCCTTACCAGGTGGTCAACAGTCTCGGGTCCTTGTGCCTTCATGGCGTTGAAGACATCACCGAGTTGATTCTGTACCTCCTTTATCTTCTCGTCCCAATGATTGGGCGCTTTTCTGGAATGATCAAGGAAGTGGCTTCCATGCCCCATGCTTTGGTTTTCACCCTCATCCTCCTGGAGATAAGGGTCCTCTCCCTGGAAAGCAAGGGGAGGGGGAGGTGCAGCTCCCTCATGTTGGGCTTTCCGAAGTGGGGTGCCCAATGGGGCACCCGGGCGTGGAGCAACAGGGCGTGGTGCTTCTTGATGTCCAGGATGTGGAGCTCCTTGGGGTGCTCTATGTTGTGCACCTCCGTGGGGCCCTCCATGTTGTGCACCTCCATGTGGTGCTCCACGTTGTGCACCTCCGTGTGGTGCTCCACCTTGGGGTCCTCCATGTTGTGCACCTCCGTGTGGTGCTCCTCCTTGTCCAGCAAGTATGAGTTGCAGTAACTGTTGGTTTTGAGCAACCAGTTGCTGCATGGTCTCCAATATTTGTTGGGGATTCGGGGCTAGAGTATCCGGAACAGGGTTGATAGGCGGGGGAGCAACCTCTTCCTCTCGTGGAGGATTGTCTTCGTGTTGGTTCATGGATCGAGTAGTGATCGCCATTAGTTAATGGACGTAATGTTCAGGAGTGAGAATTTTGTCGGTTCCCACAGACGGCGCCAAACTGATGATGCACAAAAATGGTTTTGCACACCACCTGTCAAGTATAGATAATAAATGCAATGAAATCAACGAAAAAAATTAGAGAAGACACAATTTATAGTGGTTCGGTCAATTCGACCTACGTCCACTCTTCAATGGCTTCAGTCGCCGAGTATTTTATTGATTCAAAGGTATGGAGAATGGAGATACAAGCTTTGAGAGGGAGAATGGAGAATCAAAGAATATAGTAATCTCCGGTAGTCGGTTCGTCTTCTGTAAGTCTCTGATGGAGCATGTGTCTCTCCTCTCCCAGATTAGAGCCATTTTATAGTAGCTAAGAGATCATTCTTGTGGAGATCATGACATATCCTCAAGACTTCTTTATCGCAGCTTAGAGATTATCTTTGGTGGAGATCGCGACTTATCCTCAACGGAAGGAAGAGGTTGGGGAGCTCTTCATGAAACGTGGTCAATGATTGGACCGTTTTCTTCCTCCGGTGGTGTGGATAAACTTCCCGTGCTTTCCTCTTGGTGACGTGCTAAGCAAGAAGTCTAACCGGCCTTGGGCTGTTTCCTTTGGCGGTGCAGATAAACTTCCCGTGCTCTCCTCTTGGTGACGTGCTAAGCAAAAAGTCTAACCGGCCTTGGACCGTCTTGGTCTTGGTGGTCTCTTGGTGACGTGCTAAGCAAGAGGTCTAACCGGTCTTGGACTGTCTTGGGCTTGGTAGAATCACAATGAGGTTGAGCTCCTCAACTGGGGTTGGACTTTAACACATAAATTGGACTATTTGGGCTTAACCCATCAGTGTGTATCGTGAAAAAATTGGATATAGTATGGGTGCTCATGTCGATTGTGTGTGTGCTTACCAATTTAGATTCTACATGCATTGTACGTGTGCATTCATTTATACCTCATTTGCCATAACTTGGAGATGGTTTATCACTGTTGGCCTTCAATCTTATATATATATATATATATATTTGCTTCTCATTATTTAAACCCCGAAAAAGAGTCGGAAGAAGAAGAAGAGGCAGCTGCAAAACAAATTTTTAGCAGTTACACAAAGAAGAATGCTGGTCAGGGAATATTGGAGAGAGAATGTATGCATCAAAGAAGGTTCAGATTAATCCTTTTTATCCCCTTCCAAATTACCTTGGTTTATTTTTATTTTTATTCTCTTTATACCGTGGTTACTAACCACGTTTTTATGTGAAATTGATTCCACAATGTCTGAGAGTTATGTGGAAATGGTTTGAGTCCAACCTTCATATTAGTTACTTGTCTCAATCAAGCCATGGGTATCGGCAACTTTTTTTTTTTTTTTTTTGGAGGGGGAGGGGGAGGGGGAGAGGGAGGATGACTTGAACCCTTGATCTCAAGAAGGTAAAACTTTCACAAGGTAAAGAGTATCATTGGACCAAAGATCCATTGATGGGGGTATCCGCATCTGATTAAAGATCTTTCCAATTTAACATATCTCTGCAATCTTGAGAATATATATATATATATATATATATATATATATATATATATATATGCTTAGACATGCATGTAGGAAGAGTGATTGCTGATATGTAACTGTTTTAATTGTTTTTCTACTACCCAGTTTGATAATCTTGAAAAAGATATTTTGGTACCGTAAAATTATAATTTTTAAAGTCAAGTTATATTTTTAAAATGTGAAGTTACACATGCTTGAGGTAATTTGTAATTACTCAAAAAATACCAAGTGGTAAGACTTTTTATAGAGGATTATAGGTTCCAACTTTGGAATGAATTACACTTTTCTTCGGTATACATATACACCGAGTAAATATTGAGTGCAACAGTTACATTACATCAATTTTGTCATATAGTATAACCGTTCAATGATAACTCAATAATTAAATAATAATATAATTTTTCTTTGATATTCTTCCTACCTAAGCCCATGTTGTGCTCCCACATAGAGTGATGTTACATGGCCTGGTGGCTGGCTGCCCCTATAATCACGGGTATTAAATTTCAGTAACAGTTTGTTGCGTAAGACTAACACCTAACCTAACCACCCATGAAGTTTGCTTTGTTATGTGACAATGACCAGACACAGTTTTGACGCATTTGGACAAAAAACTTGTCCAACAACATGCCTAAAACCCGCCAAGATAGATTGGATTGCGTTGTAGGATTTCGTGGTTAAGTCTTTAATTAATATTTTAAAATTCATAATTTTGAATATCATTAGAGACGTCTTAGTTTATTCAATACGTCCCTGATTTGTAGATGAGTGGGATGATTTTTGATCGCCACATAAATAAGAAAATGCATTAATATTATATATGATATACATGTATTGAAGTAACGTGAAAAGAGAGTGTTTCAAGCGATAATCTAAGAGTTAATTGAGATAATTAATCCAAATATTTACGATAATTATATTTGAATATCTCAAAAATAACAGGATTTAGTCTTTTGAACTTTTTCGGAAGCTCTACTCTATAATTTTGGATCTTAGAAGATATTTTTTTCCTAATTCTTGGAACTCTTTTTGGATGTTTCAATCTAAAGATGTGACTTGTGTTCCATTTGCACAGGAAGGTTCACCTGTGGACCCTTTCGTAAGTCATCCATTGACACATGAAGGATCCTTGGGAAACTTCTTCCAACAATTTCTATAGCTAAGGGGAAGGTTATCTACTTATAAAAATACAATAACAATTAAAATTAATTTAATATTTATTTATTTTTATTTAATAGTATAAAATTCATCCCCAAATTTATTTTCTCATTCAAAAATATTTTTTTCATTGCATAACCCCCGATGATGAACAATTCCATTGGGACAAACTTTATCTCCAAATTTATTTTTTCTCTAAAAAAATAGCATATTTTTTGCACAGTTCTCAATGTCACATAACCAACATACTCCCTAATATTAAAATAGAGTAATTCTATTTAGATATAAAAATCTAACTTAATTTGCTAACATAATGATGTGGCTTCAATAGAACTATTGGATCAACACCAAGTTCTGATGTTTGATGGAGCCCACAGTCAATCTAAAGGTTATAATGAATTAGGTCAATAAATTAATTCCAATAGTATTGTGTTATCAAATAACTCTATTATTCTACACCGATCTCTGTGTTCTTTCTCTCATATCTTTATCTTATTTTATTTATTTATTTTAATTTTAAATTATAAAATTAAAAAAAATATTATTTAAAATATAATATCACATAATTAATATTTAATTTTTAGTATTATAGAATATTTTTTGGGCACGAAATGATTAATGGTTGTTGATATATATCCGAAGATATGTAGTTAGGTCGGTTTTTAACTGTTAAAAATAGAAAGAAAAAGAAAAGGCCCTTGCCTTGTTTGAGAGGTCTTGACAGAGGTCAAAGATGTGGGCCCTAGTAGCCTAAATCCACGACATGAATCTATATATATGACTGGGTCCCATTTTTTATGTCGGTACCCAACAGAGGAAAAAGCAACAAAAATTTTCAGATTATGGGCAATCGATCAACGGCCTAGATCACTGCTCAAAATCATCATAACACCAATCTACACTACTTCAGAGTATACCATATCAGTTCCATGCAGTTGCTTGGGCTTTGGGTTGGTGGGGAGCTCACAACAAACGCAAGCCATTTTTCTGTTCAAAAAAGCATCTTCCAACAGTCCAACACAAAATCCACACAGAAAACAGTTATGGGTCCCCACCCCCTCTCTCTCTCTCTCTCTCTCTCTCTCTCTCTCTGGAATACCAAAAACTAGAAAAACTCAAACAAGGCTGATGTTCTGTAAGAAAAAAGGTGGGAAAACCCTCCATGTCCCAAGGATTTTTCTATTTTGAATGACCCTATATAGATAGATAGAGAGATAGTTACATTAGATTATAGACTGGTCTATGTCAAGAGATTATTCCGTAGGGATAAGAAAAAGAGAGAAGCTTATAGCCAAAGCATACTACCCTTTTACCATCTCTCTTGTCTTTTATTAGTTTTCTCTCCAAAGCAACGAAGCAAAGCATCTCTTCTTACACCGCATTTCATTTCTCTCATGCTTTCCCCTGTAAGTATATCTCCTTTCCTTTGCTTACAATTAAGAACTTCCCTTCTTTTTCAATTCACAAATTAACATTGTTTATTATATATATATAATATATATATATATATATATATTCTTCTGTGCAAAACTGCAAATACTCTCTGAAAGCTTGGAATCTCTGCTCACTTTTCTGCCATTAATGAGCATCAAATTCATTCTTTTGTTGTTGTCTTGAGGCCATTGTTCTATAACTAACTAGCTGCAGTTTGGGAAATACTCATTTAGTCATCCCAGAAGTGGTGATTCTAGCTTTGGGTTTTGGTCACTGGACAATCTTGTTTAGTTTTTCATGAATTTTGGGTTTTGATGAAAACTCAATCATGGGTTTATGTACGGTTTGGTTCTTGGTTTCAGAATTTTAGCTTTTCAGCCTTTTCCAGTACATAATGGGCATGCTACAGAACATATTTGAAGCTCTGATTTCTAGTATTGATTCTTCCTCTTGCTTTTCTCATCTTAAGGTTTCAGATTTTCCAGGATTTCATTTGTTGTAGTACAGCAGATTCCTTAATTACAATTGCTGGGTTTTATGTTGTTTTCAGAATCACAATAGTGCAAGATATTCTTATCATTTTTTTAAGACAATTGATTCAATTAATCTTCATCTCATTCAGTTTCTTCCTAAGTAAGAGTTTTTCGTGTTTCGAAAATCTTCCCTTTATAAATGTTTAGGATCCCATATTGATTTTCCCATTTGGAAATTAAATCAAACATTAAACCTCCAGATTGATTGATTGGGAACAATCAGAGAAGTTGAAGTTACAACATGGGTTTCTTAACAGGTTCCCCGAAAAATTCTTGGCAGCCAGTCATGACTGCCGATACAACCACCACAAGTTACTGGATGAACTGGAGGGTCTTGATTTGCACAATATGGGTCTTAATTTCATTGTTTCTTGCATCCATTCTCATCTCAAAATATGAAGGCCCGCGCAAATTGAAACATGGAAGCAGAGAAACTCGGCAGGAACCAGCAGGACTATTGTATGAAGATGAAGTTTGGAGGCCTTCTGTGAGAGGAATACATCCAGCTTGGCTGCTGGCATTCCGGGTTGTCGCTTTCATTGTGCTTTTGTTAATGCTGGCCCTGAATGTTGCAGTTGATGGAGGTGGCATTTTTTACTTCTATACACAGTAAGTTTATCCTTTTTTCACACGATATGGAGAATCTTGTTATATAAAACTATCTCCTTTTTAATATACAATTTATATTTTGTCAGAACTTTGTTCTTCGTCACACATTTCTGGATTCTTTGAGTTAAAGAAAATTATTTTGAAAGGCTTATTTTGTTTGAGTATCATTGTGATGAAACCAACAAGTAATTTTTCATATTATAAAGGTGGCAGCTTTTGCTCATGAATGGGTTGCCAGGACAATTTTATAATTCTCATGGGCATTTTTCACATAAATTTGCTTCGATCTCTACCTGCAACATTGGGATTTCCTTCCTTTTCTGTTGTAGATTTTCCTATATGCATTTAGACTTGAAAGAGCTTTTTGGAAGGCAAAGTAGACTTCAATAAGCTTAACTATGCAATCTCACATGGCACAATTCTAATCATAATACTACGCTTGATGTCATCATTTTTCCGTGATCATTATTTATTTCTAGTTTTTAACTTGTGATTGGGTTGTGGACAGATGGACTTTTGTGTTAATAACCATCTATTTTGGGGTATGTCATCGGTAACCTTACTACGCTTGAATAGATAGGTTCTTTTATATATCTTCTTTTGGTTATGATCCTGACTTCTATTTGTAGCTCGGATCTTTGCTGTCCATGTATGGATGTTACCAATATCACAATAAAGTTGGTGGTGCTAGAATTGATCATGAGGAGTTTGATGCTGAGCAAGGCACTTCTGGGGCACCTAGAGATGCAGAAAATTCTAACATGTCCAACGTTGTGAAAAGCTTGGGCCCCAATGAGGAACGCCCTGTTCGCCAAATTGCAGGCTTCTGGGGTTACGCTTTTCAAATAATTTTCCAGGTTAATCTCCTAAAGCAATGACACAATTATGGAAGTTTCTGTTTCTCTTGCAATTGTATGAGCATTTGCTTACGCCCACATAATTCTCTACCCCTGATGCAGCCTGAAAATGATTTTTGTTCTAATGCAGCTAGAAAAATTGATCTACTCCCAGGATTAAATACTGTTGAGAGAATTTAGCTCCTCTCCATTTAGTTCCTTACTGTTTGATCCATTGAAAACACGCCTTTCGATGAGGCATCCTAGAGGAACTAAACAGAGTGGAGCCAAGTTTTGCCTCAAAGAAAGAGAAATCATTTGTCAAATAAAAGACTGCAATATCTCCATTTACTTCAGTGCACTAGCTTGATTTTTTTCCATATTTTCTGTGAACAGATAAATGCAGGTGCTGTGATGCTGACAGACTGTGTCTTTTGGTTCATAATCGTACCCTTCCTTGAAATTAAAGATTACAACCTGAATTTTGTAAGTATCCTATGTTGCGGCAAGTTAAGTTTTTCTACAAGTAGGTGTGATGATATATACAAAATTTTATTCTTTCATCATGTGAAGGAGGCTTGCATATTGCCTATAATCCAAGTAGTATTAAGCTCAGTCGTAATAAGTGGATATGATCACGTGGAACGATCCTCTCTTCAATCAAAGTTTGGGTCACTCAGCTGCTTGAGAATACAACATTAGTGCAGAGGCTTATACATGTACAAATTAGAAAATCCAGAACCTATTTTGTACTGACCTACAGTCTGGTAGATTGATAATTAATTGAATCCTTGGCTACAATAAAACACATTTTCAAAGTATTGAAAATTCTTAACAAAAAAAGAAAAGAAAAGTCTAGGTAGCCCAATTCGTGTATCAGTATATTCTTAAACTGTTGGAAAAAATATATTGAGAAACCAAATAATGAAAAAGAGTCTAGGGAGTATCTCACTGTCTAATATCAAATTTTACTTGGCAGTTTCAATATGAGTTTTCTATACATTGTCTGTGTCTGCAACCTTACTTCTGTGCCACATCATAGGCTGCTTACCAAAGACAAACTTCTGCTTCATTTCTTGATTGCTTCAATCACAAAACCTGATAGTTCTTTTTATTTCCAATGTTTAAGAAGCTCTCTTCTTTGTATTCCTGAATGATGTGTGAAATCATTTACATTGCAGTTGATTATAAACATGCACACAATCAATGCTGTTTTTCTGCTTGGTGACACTGCAATGAATTGCTTGGTAAGTTTGCAGCACTTTATTATTGATTTCAACTTTCAACCCATATCTGTTTTTCGAGCTTCTTTCTTTTTAATGAATTAATTTTGAATCGTGATACCTTTATTTCAGAGGTTCCCTTGGTTCCGAATGGCATACTTCATTCTATGGACAGCTGTTTACGTCATTTTTCAATGGATTGTCCATGCGTGTGTCTCACTTTGGTAAAGTATTATTGTATCCTTCATGTTGTTAACTAGAAACATATCTACGTCGTTCTTTTGTAACATTGCTGTTCTTTGAACCAGGTGGCCTTATCCATTTCTTGATCTGTCCTCTCCATTTGCTCCACTATGGTATGTAATTTTAGCATCACTTTTCGGGTGTTAGAAAACAAATCCTACATCTATAAATTTGCTGCCAAATTTTTCCAGCACCCCTGATGTCCAGATGCCACTAATGTCATAGAATTACAGTTTTTTTTTTTTTTTGTAGTGCTTAACAAATCTAATTCAAAACCATTCTCTCTCTCCTAATTTCAGTCAAGCATAGCATGTATCTTAATGTTATCCAGGTTAAAAGGCTGACCATTTTCTCTGCTGCAATTGAAAATCACAGGTACTCCTCAGTGGCTGTTATGCACATACCGTGCTATGGCGTTTTTGGTCTAGTAATGAAGTTGAAACACTTTCTGTTGTTAAAATGGTTTCCTGAATCCTATCAGTGTCATCGGTAACTCATGCTGAAAACTATTCTGAAGCTATCTCTCTGGTGCTAATAAAAAAAACTGAGTTTTCTTCCTCGAAGAGGCAGAGCCATGGTATACTATATGCTGAAAGATGTCCAGAGATAGCCAAGAACAAACATTGTCCACGTTTCGACATGTTTTCACAGAGAAAATGTAGTAAGTTTTGATATACAACTGATTGAACAACAGAAAGCAACACTTTTTTAATTTGTTTATGTAAACCTGTCCCTTATGTGGAGCATAGTTGTAATTACAAACAGATATCAAAAGTATTCAAAGAGAAATTCCATATCTTCACTGTCTAATATCATTTTTGTATAATTTTGTATGCATTCTTGTGCTTATTTCTTGATTATACCTCATCCATGGTCGCCAAGTTTTCCTAAAATATCGTCATACAGGAACATCTTAGCTAAGACATTACTGCAGAATTTCTATTTGTGACTTGAAAATCCAGCTGCCTGAACATGGAGCATTATTTTGCAAATTTGTGGGGCTAAAATGTAAACTGTTTGCAAGTTTCTGTTTCTTGTTGTTGGGCACTGGGGGGCTTAACTTGGCATAAGCCTTTGTTTATCATTCCACTTCTAGTACTGTGGACTGATGATTAACCAGTGTACCTGGGAAGGCATTTTGGTTATAATGCTAAAAGCCTGAGTTTTATTTTTTTCTTCGATACGGAGAATTGTCCAAACCACGTGCCTTTCGAACTATTTTTTTTTTTTTTTTGATTCAACGGTCAAGGGTAGTTAAACTAACTTACCCCCATGTATATTAATTCTCTCCTCGTCCAGTCAAAGATATGTCATTCACATCGGGACTAGAGTATTTATTCATGAGAAACAACTTTCTCATGGTCTAACTTTAAAAAATTGTCAAAATTCAAACTCATGACATTTGAGTTTATATCTCGTTCCTATTACCATGTGGTCTATCTCTTACAATTCTTAGACCTCATTATTATAAAATAAATCTTGGACAAATAACCTATGAATCACACGCATTAATTAGACTGTTATTTACACTTTCGAGAAAACTCGAACTCAAAAAAGTATAGACTTACACATCTTCTTTTGTTCTTGTTCGCCTACTTAACCAACTCATATGGTTCAATAGCTTGAATTTGAACTTCGTTGAACAATGGCAGTTTGTCATCTGGAAGCACATTGGGTTGCCATTGATGCTCTCTTTGAGAGCCAAAAATGGCTTTTCTTGCCAATTAGAAGAAAGTGCATTCTAACCAACAAAACCACCTGTTTCCAATTATAGTATTAAAAAAACCTTGCCGACAATGCAAATTAATAAAGTGATCTTCATGGACCAGCTTATATTTAATTCTACTGAGTCATGATATTGTCAAAAAGGAACTAGTCAAATTTGGTACAGGATAATGACATCTTTTCACTTTTTTATGCATCTACATTGGAGTAAGAGCAACCAAACACACCCCCAACCCCCACCCAAAACGAGAAAATATTGGGTAATGACATCTGTTCACTTTTTTATTCTTCTACATTGGAGAAAGACCAACAAACACCCCCCCCCCCCCCCCCCCGACACCTTTTTCCCAAAACGAGAAAATATTGACCATTTTTTTTTTCCATATAAATTGGTCGATATTATTACAAAAAAGAATCAACTATTGTAACTTTATAACAATAGGAGTGAAGAAAAATCCGAAAAGAATATATAACAAAATCCTTTAAAAGAGAACGTAAGTAATTGGACTAGCGTCCAAGGCTTTTCTTGGTCTCTAACAAGTGATTTGCATACCATATTTGAGTTCCATTAGGCATTGAAGACTGAAATTGCTAGGCTCCTTAACATTATTTCTGCACATAAGGGTTAATTATCTTTCTACACCACGATTCCACTTTTTTCGAACATGTGTCTTACTACGGCGCTCGGGACTTTGATATTCCTGTGATGGTGGTGGACTGGTGGGCCATTATGTTCATTTGCATTAAATAATGGTTACTGCAACTGTGTTCCTCCTCTAACAAAAGGGAAAAATAAAGAGAGAACATGCAGTGCAAATGGGAAGAAAACAAATTAAATCTCTTTACATGAACTTATGGTACAAAGAATACGAAAAGAAAAAGCCTCGTAGCCCTTCAGAGCCTGGGTTATAACAAAGGGGAATGCATTTGATTATTCTGTCGACTACCCTCAAGGAAGAACAAATAAGCTCCCACAATTTTCAGGTTTCAAAGCCAAAAATACAAGCAACAGTAACAATGTGAGTATTCAGAGGGAGATGTTTGGTAAAGAACCCACTAAGATAACAGTATTGCTGTCTCTAGGCTTCGCTTGCCTCGCCTTAGAGAACATTCCGGAGAGGAATCCCAATGGTGACCTAGAATCCCCCTTCCTGCCCAATGAGTCCACTGTGCTACCCACCTCAGTACCGACGCCAAGGCTTCTCTTAATTGTGCCTCCATTGGCCTCATCCAACTTAAGATATGCACCACAAGGACAACTTGATATCTTTTTGAAACATGGCTTGTGGAAAACTGATTCACAAGATTTGCACCTTTCAACCTCTCCTTCCTGTCAGTTAATAGTGTTAATCATCGATTATAATTGTTCATTTTCCTTTCTGTCTAGGGCATGGCAATCATAGTTATTCAGCAACACTCTTTGCACATTTCAGGTCTCCTAGGCAAGCAAGAAAAAGGAAATGGGTTCGCTGAAGGCACCATTATCGGATGTTGTTAATAATGCTAGGGAGCCTCTGAGTCTTTTCAGGCACACATGCTTGTTAGCTTGGGCATTTCAAGAACAGACCCAGCAAAAGATATATTATGGCCATGGTATCAGATTTAGCACTTTCATACATTCACTCATTCAGATTGCAAAAGAACAGTTACCAGGATTTGTTCATAGAGAATATAATGGAAAGTGATAAAGTGTTTGTGGTGCATGCCAACATGGGCAAAATATAAGTTCAGCAATGCACAACATAAGCAGATGCGCACCTGAAAAGGGAAAATGAGAGAAGTTAGGTCTTCACACTCTTGTCGAGCATTACAAGGGATACCCAAATCACAGCATATGAGGCACTGCTCGGTTATATGTTCCAGGATTTTCCTCGAGACATTCTCCATCATCTGCGGCAGGGCTGAAAGAGAAATGGAAAACGTCAAGAACACGCCCAGCAATGAGTTTCAAGAAAACAACCACCAAACTAGTCATGCTTTACAACACAAGCCATGTCCCTGAATGAAGAAATTGATGGTGTGACAAGAAAAGTGAAAACAGCACTCATAAAAACCTCATTGATGATCATACTCAACTTATCTCAACTAAACTTTATCCTAATTATTTTTGGGTCGGCTATACAAATCTTGTTCCCCAATGTGTTATATCAACGGCCATACATTAGTTAACATCACAGATTATCATATTCTTTTTTTCTATCTCTTTTAAAGTTAACTTCGGTCTACATCTACTTTTCGAATTACTATTGATAAGTATTACATTCTCTCTTAATTTACCCTTTATAAGTGCTACTTATGATGTTTCACTTACATATTCTTAGTTCTTTCTTTTTTAAAATTACCACATATTCATCTTCACATCCTCATTTCCACCACACTTAGTTTTTCAGCATGTTGTTTGACTAACATCCTCTGTTAAATAAAAACCTCATCGACGATCATCGAAGGAAAATTGCCTACATGATACCCTGTGAACCAGATGAGGATATGGCCCTAGGTAGAGCTAAAAGGTGAAGAAAAAGTCATGTAACAACTCCAAGTACTAAGAGCCTAAGGTTTTATTGAGTTGGGTTGAGTCATATCACACCTGAAAATAAATCACTGGTGCTTTCGTTCTGTGGTCTATAAATTATTACTGTCGATTAATTACACAATTCGCTCTAGGTGGAAAGCTTTAAAAAAAACAAAATTTAGAAGTTATATATGTGAAACCATTCTAGAATTGAATGCATTTTTAAATGACAGCATGCCCCATAATATTCTGCCTTTCCAAAAAGTCAAAAACAATAATGAACTTGTTATAGAAAGCAAACCTGCAAACATGCCTTTGGACAGATCAACGAGGTCTCTGAGTGCAAAAAAATCATTGCTTTTAAGAAGATATCTCCGCGATCCAAGGCCTTTGTAGATGGACCTACGAAATGGGCAACGAGCATACGCCAGCATAGCTCCTATTTGTTTTCTTAAATTCATAACCTGTTGCAGCGCTGGGACTCTTGAGAATAAAAAAGGATTAACAGCACTGACACAAAGCATAGGCTGCAAGAAGAATAACCCATTAAAGAAAATTAATCTCAGAAAGTTAAGCAGGACTTACATCTAAAAATATACTCCAAAGTTATGGAGTATTAAAACATAATGATTTTTTTTATATGTCATCTAAACATAGCAGTCCAGATTCCATGTCTTTATTCAACTGCGCTAACTTCCGTGACATTCTTAATCTGAAGGATTAAATTCAAAAAAAAAAAAATCCCCACCCACCAAAATATGGTGGAGTCATTACCTGGTCATGAATTGAATCAAGATATGATTTAGCCAATTGAGATACAGGATATTGAGTAAAATCCCAATAATGGAGAACTCTGGCTGGCAAGACAGCAGTTTCATTTGAATGACATGAAGGACAGAACAGCTGACCACTGTATTCACAAAGACGAGGCTTGCCCCACCCAAGAGTCCATACAACTTCCCGCATCAGAGATTTTGCATCATCAAAATGTTTGTGGCATCCCGCACAAGTATAATGCTGGGCGTCTAGCATCTGTTTTGTAGATTTGTAGGGCCGTGTTTGAATGACAAGGGATATAGTCTTCCCCAAGGTTGAAACATCCTCAGTATCTGTGCTTCTGGTAGAATATGGTGACTGAGGCATGTGTGTATCAGATGTAGGAGAACTAGGAACCTCTTTTGGTGGGGACAAGAACCAAATGAGAGCATTGGGGAGACTGGACGAAAACTTAGAGTGCAAAATGGATCCTAAACACTCCTGAATAAGAACACTTCTCTCTGCAATTACATCAGGAGAAGCATTCCCAAAAATCTTTCTTGATTCTCGTTCAACGAAAGACCATGGAGAAGGTAGAGTGCAGCCTTGATCGACAAATAATTTGTTCAAACAACGATAGAGAGTACAGAAATCACGGTATCTCCGTTCAACCTCCCAATGATTCTCACCGCTCCACACTCTTATCCTATAAACAGTGTATTCCTTCACTCCGACCAGTCTTTCGCTAAGTGAAACATCTCCCCTCTTCTGCCTTGCACCTACTACTTCGACCCCATCAATTCTCACAGGGTGGTGGATCACCAAGTGAGTATCATCCATAGCAGAAGTGGAAGCAGTAGATCCACCATCTCGTAATGGCCGGGTCATCAGGGGTGGATACGTCCTACTACCCCGGGTGAACCTAGCCCAAGGAGTGTTGCCAGAATCAAGTAATATTTCTTCCATTTCGTGCACAAAATCATTGAAGAATTCATTTGACTCAAGATTCTCAGTCTGCAAGGTAGGAAAACATAAAATATTAGTGCAAGGGGCATCCATCTGTGACTCAAAATAGTCAATTCACAAAGAAATCTTTTTTGGTGAAAATAGAGCAGGCAAGTGAAATTGATGGTGGCGATTACCTACAAACCTAGTAGTACCGAAGAGATGAAAATTCTTACCCCCACCCCAAAAACGTAACACCTTAAAAGAAAGAGTCCAAAACAAAAAAAAAATAGAGGGAAAAAAAACACAAGGCAAGGAAAATGAAGAGCCAAGAAAACAGATAATGTTACCCAATGGCAAGCATTACTGCACCAAATGTTACCAACAAAACATGGAAGTACCATGAATGCTCAACTATTCCTACCTTTCCCATGATAGATGGACCAGATGCTGGGATTAGAGTTTGTAAACCAGATATCTAACATTCACTTTTTCACATGTTTTTCCTATGCCTTTGCATGAATATATTTGAAGTAATACCTAAAATAGGTCGTCATACAAGTATCTATTCCATTAGATGCAACCATGTACATGAACCAAAAAGAAAAGAAAATAGAGAGTCCTCTAATGTATATTTTTCCTATACTTTAGTTGCTTTGTATGAACAACATACCCCTCTTCATTTACTCCATTTCTTAATTTTCTCCACATTTTGCTTCTCTACCAGTTTTTGCCAGATATAATTTTTAGCATACATTTTAAACAAGTGTAATTTGCTCCCTTCGAACAGCCAAACATTTTAAAAAAAAAAAAAGTAGTTCCCACACGTTTCTAGCAAGAGATGACAACAGCCCCCCCTAAAACTACAACTCGTTATCTATGATGTTTGTGGCTGACAAATATGGGCCCAGTATCTCGCATGGTTGATATACTAAATTAACTGACAAGTATACACTATTGTATATGTGAATGCATGTGTGTGACTGCCTGGGAGCATCACAGTGCAGACACCACATTGTAAGGCTTTGCGCGTAGACTTTATGCAGCAAATAGATTAAAAGGTATTGCCAAGAAAGCTTCCTCCTAGGACAATATGGTGCTTGAGTAGCAATTTCATATCAGTTATCATAAATAACATATACTTGCAAGATTGAAGTCCAATAGGCAAGAGAAAAAGACTACAAAGAAATCCTCGACATATATAAAGGCCGGACATACATCCAAAACATTGAGTGGTGTGGTTCAAGTGTTTTTATCTGTTACTAATAATTAAATATACACGTGTTTATTTACTTAAATGAATGCAAAAAAAAATATCATTTTATTTCGAACTGCCCTCTTGAAATTCAGTCCATGGGGTAGATATGCCTCCATGTAAAATAATAATGCTCAGTTTAGTCCCCATTAAATGTGGATCTAGGGGGGATAGACTGGCTTAATAGTATTTGCGCAAACCAATGAACTAAAGATTATTGGTTGAACTTCAAGCATTGAACCAATAGCTTCACTTCATCCACGTATATGTATGAATATTTATTTGTTCATTAGGTTGACCCCAGCAAAAATTAACAGTAGCACCATCAGCTAACACGCTGACAAATTGATACTGCAGAAAATGAAAATAAATAGAAAATTGTTATCGTTATAAACTTTGAAACTACAAACTGACCTTGACTGATGTAAGATGGTCTTCAGATAGCTTGGGTGAAACATGAGAATCCTCCATTACTATCTTTTCACTGTTTTCAATAAGTGGCGGTGTTGAACTAGATTTATTTTCTCCAAAGGATTCGCCTCGTCTATCTTCAGCGTCAACCTGTGAAGCTGAACAATGTTGGTAGAATGTAACATCAGAAAGTGGGTCCAACTGCAGTTTTATTTTCTCCAGCTCAATACTTTCTGAAACATGACCATCATCCATGCCAGTCACATCCTCAGTGCTTGTATATTGATGGTCGCTTTTCAATCCACCATCCCTGATGTTCAATTCCTTTTTCAATGGGGCTTCTGTTAGTAGATCGTGCTCTTTTTCCAATGTATTGACGCTAACTGAAGAGGTTTCAAGGTAATCTGCTGATTTAGTAACACCTAGCAGATTGCTCTCAACAAGCTCATCTTTTGCAACTTCTCCTTGCTCTACGTCACCAAATTCCACTATATTATCATTACCTTGGACTTGAGCCACAGAAATTTCTCTCATACCTGCTTGTTGCTCTGGCAAAGCAATACTTGAAAACTCAACAGTATCTGTCGTAGTGGGATTCATATTATCTAATTCAATTGCAGCACTATGTGGTTTCTGTCCCTTATGTCCCTCAGGAACCATAGAAGCCATAGCATTTTCCTCTGTTTCTTGCATAAAATCATCCCAATCATCTGAACCAAATGCTATGGATGAAGTCATAAGCAATAAATTTTCATTCTTACGATTTGATTCCTGATGGCGTGTTATGTTTTTCCCGTAATACAAATCAATTTTCTTTTCATCATCTGTGCCAAACATCGAATCTTCATCATCTGAATGTTCATATCTGGATGAACTTTCACCTTCATCCGAACCTCTTCCAGCCTCATTTCTATAAGATCCCAAATCAGACTGCATTTTTGACCCCTCTATGCAACTGTCCACTTGTTCAATACCTACGTAAGACTGAGAACTTTCTTTCGCAATTGCAGAGGAATGGAAGCTGTCAGCAGGTCCTAAATTCAACATAATTCCCTCGATGGCTTCTGCACTTGCATCATCTCCATAATGATCATTTTGAGAACTTCGTGCAGACCCCAACTCCTTGCCGTCTCTCCACGGCACAACACTGCCAAAATCATCTTCACCAAAAAGCTCCTCGTCCAATTCAATATTTAAATCCGATAGAGTCTCAGCCTTGGAAGGCATCAAATTACCATTATCAGTACTATGACTATCGAACTCATGTGATGAAGAATTTTCCACATTATCATACGAATTTAGCCCATTCTTCATTTCCACCACTCTTTGTCCCGATTCTACTTTATTTTTCAGCTCTGCATCGCTCTTTCCATCACAACATTCAATTCTCTGAGAAAAACCCAATACTTTCTTATATTCAGAGTGTCTATTGAATCTCTCTCCCAAAGTGAAATTCTCTGAACCACCATCATTTTCAAGCCTGAAATTCTTCAAAGACCCAAGCTCGGCATCCACACACTCCTGAAATGTTCCTACTGAACTACACAAACTCGGTGTCCCCATAACTGATGTTGCACTACAATATCTATCGAACTCCGATTCTCCACAGGACGAGTACTGTGATGAGACTGGTGACCCATCGCCACTGTAGGATTTGTCACCTTGCCAAGGCAGAAACTCATCGGATTTATCCGGTGAGGCAACTTCAGAAGATATCTCACGATTCCCCTCTCCTTTTATCATTTGATAGTTAAGAAATTATCCAATCCAACGTCTCAAAATTCAACAAATTCCAATAACCAAATATAATTAACTCCAGAATAAACAGATTCTTCACTTAAACCATTGTTATTCAACGGATAGATCATACAACAATTGATAAATAACAAGATCAGATTGCAGAAAAAGAATTTACCAATTCAAGAAGCGATTTTGAGCGGAACCGATGAGGATTTTTTAAGGGGTTTTGGTGTGGTTTCACAGCTTTTTAACACGAATTAGCATGTGAAATAAGTCTAATCATACGAAAACAAAACTAAGAACATTGAATTGGAACACGATAAAGACAGAAAAGTTAAGAGCTGACCTCCACATCGAGTTGCGTTTGCATGTGAGACAGAAACAGAGAGAGAGAGAGAAGAGGGGGGGGCGGGGGGAAACAAGGCAAGTGTTCTCTCGAGTCTCGAAGTTCTTCAAGTTTTTTGGGTCCAAAAAAATGATGTCATCGTCGTATGCTGTCTGCTAGTAGAATCGTATTTTCTGATTTTGACAAAAATAATAATAATATTTGTATTCCCATCAAATTAATATCACAGCTATAAAATTGAATTATCAACTTAAAAAAACATAATAATAATTAAAATTAATTTATTTTTTCATTCAAAAAAATTCATTTTATCTGCATGACTCCGGTGTCAAACAACTCAACGAAAATACTTTCTAATATCAAATAACTCTATTAATTTAAACTTACATATCTCTTCTCTCTCCCCACCTTTATCTTATTTTTTCCTTATTTACTTTAATTTTAAAAAACATAATTCAAAAAAAAAATTATATTTATTAAAATATAACTATCACATTATTAATGCTTAAAACATTTCAAAACAATTTTACAAATGTATTGAAACATTACAAAACGCTTCGAAGTATTAAACTTTCGATTTTATTATTAATTCGTTTCGATCTCATTTGCAATAAAAACGTTTCGAACGTTTTAAAACAAAATTTTAATCTTAGCCCCCCGTTCCTGTTCAAATACCCATCGGGTTTAAGATCTCTATCCTCATCTCCTTGCATCATCAACCCATCCATGGCTTCATCAGTTTGTTGGCTTAAGAGAGAAAATACAAGTATAAATACGTAATTTCTGATTGTAACCAATTTTTGGTGGCCTAGTGGGCCAGGTTTTTTTTTTCCCGACTGGGCTAACCTGCTTTTTTAAGGGAAAATTGTAAGGAAGTATATAAAATTAAATTTAATTGTTAAAAAGTATACAGATCTTAATGTTACGTCTTTAAATTTTTTTTTTTTAAAACTTAATTGTGTTCAAGTATACAATTTAATTTTTTGTGATTTTCTTTTAACATATTTGTCGTCATATATAAGAGTTCTAATAAAACAAAAATATAAAATTTTTAAAAAATCAAAATTTATAATAAATTTTTTCCATTTTTTAGGGATATATTTCAAAGTTTTTGTAAAATTTTGAAATTTGACAACTAAAATTGAGAAAAATTAATTATCTTATATTTGAAAGTACTAAAATTAAAAAGTTTTGATTTTAGATTTAATTTGATCACGTATATATATATAATAAATCATACATCCAACACACTTTTTTCTCCCAAATTTCAAAAACCTAACACACCCTTCGATAATTCGATAACACACAGCTGCATATACACACACATTCTAATGCATGCACGGTGTTATAATTCAGTGTATAGTGACTTTAGTCACAAGATATTGCTAGCATATATATATAATATTACGAAATCATACTATAAAACCTAATTTCTATTACTCCTATACTATTTTGATACATTTTAAAGTGTTTATAAAATTAAAGTGTATTAATATAAAATAATGTAGGAGTAATAGAAACTAGGATCTAAGATAAGATAATTAAACTTCCTTAATTTTAATTGTCAAATTTCAAAAATTTCGTAAAAACTTTAAAACATATCTCTAAAAAAATGGAGAGTATTTATTATGATGAGTTTTAATTTTCTAAAATTTTAAATTTTTGTTTTATTATAACTCATATATATAAATATAGAGTTTTTGTCTAAAATCTTTTTTTAAAAAACTTATTTACAATAAAAGTATTTCTATGTCTTAAAGTGAATTTTTTTACACTGGAATAAACTTTCATGTTATCATAACAATGTCCAAGGCATTTTGGCCGCGCCGCCCGCGCCCGGCCGGGGGAGGGGAGGGGAGGGGGTAGGGGTATACATCCTCTGGGGATATTTCAGATGTAATTTGGAAAGTGTAGCAGTGTTGTTCATCGAGTCGATTAAGTCACAACTGATAAAAAAAAGTCGCACTTCAACGTCACATTATCCCCAGGAAGCTTCAGTTGCAAAAAAATATATATATATATACATAAAAAACTGAGGCTGCAATTAATAATTTCCAAAAAAAAAAAAGAAAAGAAAAAGAAAGACCACGTACCCCCATGAAATCATCAATATGTTTCTTGGATCTTAAAAAGTGCTAGACAAATTAGCCCTCAAAAAGATTTTCTCTTTTAACTCTTTTTCTCCCACAGAGAGAGGCATTTCTATACCTCAACAATTACACCAAGAAGAAAGAAATGCAACAGGTGTTGAAGATGGCCGAATTGTCTTCTCTGGCTCCCTTTTCCCATATTACAATGGCCAGAGAACAAGTGAAGTTTTGGCCCTAGCAAATAAGATAACACTCCTCTATTTGTTCAAGTGCCCTTCTAGCCTCTCAATTGCAGCACCAACCCCACTCTCTGCTTCTTTACTTCCGTTTGTGTCGGAAGCAGCAGCCAACCTCCCTTCATTTGCTTTCTCTACAAGCTTCAACTGAAGCCAACCTGTTAAAAATTGCTTGCGTAAATTATGAGAAGCAAAGAGAGCTCTCTAACAAACCAGAAAATATGGCCATGCACTTGTGAAGAATGAAAGCTTACTTTAAAGAACAGCAGAAAAAATTAAAGCTTTCATACAATCGTACAAAAATCTATTTCACACTTCACAGTGATATAGGTATATGGGAATGAACTTCTCAACTACTTTCCGAAAAAAGAAATAGGCAAATGGGGCATGTTACAGCAGTCAGCAAGCCTAGAGGTAATGGGTAATGTCCATCATCACAGTAGGAATCTTGTCATGTTTAATTACATCAGCTAGTACTCAACTTTTTCTGCTATTCTCAAACATTGTAGGGTAAAACATAGTATTAATACTTCCTGGAACCAAGAAAAATATAATGGAAGGATCATTGAAAAAATAACAGGATAATTTCAGATGAAAGTTTTCATGGGTTAATAGCAGCACCTGTAAATCGTCAATGGGGTTTGACGCTTGTCAGAAAATCCTTAAAGGTCAACAATTTTCTAAAAAAGAAGTAATGCAAACTCATTGTGTTACAACACATTAACCACTAGGTAACTATAGTAATACATGTACAGGTGCGAATCTATTACCAAGAGGGAAGCAAAATGCTGCACCCAAAACCGAGCCCAATAACACATTCCTTGCACGCCAACGGAATGACCCTGGCACTAATAAAGCCAAAGTGAAACAAAGGTTGGAAGAGAGAAATGAGCATTTCCCAAAAAAACATGATGCTTGAAAATCAACTTCTTACAAATTAGACCAAATGTTGCAGCAGTAGCAGAACCAGCTCCAACCACATTATAAACATCATGCACCCCTCGTTTTTCAGCAAGCAGATTCTGCAAACAGCAAAATGCAGCAGTAAACATTCCAAGGCGCACTCCACCAACTATTGAGCCCCGAGTGACTCGGATAAATCTTTTTTCCATTGCATCTCTCATTAGTCGATGCTGCTCACGTTTGTCCTGTGTGCTGCCAAGCTTCAACATTACTTCTGCATCCTTACTCTGGCAATACATGACAAAGTTCTCATGATCATCATCGAGCCCATCAATAATCCCTTCACATACATAGATCATCAGATAAACAAATTTATTGAAATATATTTGGTGTCTACTTTTCATGTTCCCTAGAGCAGGATCAAGTTAGATCTTAAGAGTTGGCACCAACTCCACCACATTTATACAAGTTGAAAACACCACTTTGGTTTGCCACAGTAATATAATATGGACCTGCCACTGGCATAACTAATTAAATATGTCCAACTTTGTTTTTACCTTTTGCATATATGCAAGTTTATGTGGGTAGAAAGAAGGGCGAGTCATACTATGTCAATACACAATTCTGCATTTCTGTTAAAATTAGTCAAACCAATAGTTCTGCTTTGCAATTATGCACTTTCTTATCCTCTGACTGGGGACCCTAACAATTTCAATGTCCACGTGCAATCGTTTCCCCCACAGTTTTTGTCTTCCTCCTCTTGCCTTCATGCTAATTTAACTCAGAAAAATCTCACAAGTTGGAGGATATTTTAAGAATGCATACTTACAACAGAAGCAGATGCCTCTTTGCTCCCCCCGTATAACATGCCAGCAAACATTCCAATCACTGTTGCTGTACCCCAGTTGACAGTTCCCGCCATCTTCGGAGTATTCTAATTAGAAGAGAAGAAATATCAACATACAAGAGAGAATTGGTTGCGTCATATCGATATAAATAATTTTTTTCTGATAAAAAAAGTTATATCTTGTCTGCAACATCATAGTTCATCCTGCTAATTTAACTTTCAAAGAGTTTTATAAATACATGCATATGGCACCAAACATTCAGCGTAGTATATTCAAGTGGTCTGCCTAATACATTAAAATCAATTGCACCCACATGTGTGTGCGTGTGTGTGCGATGTATGTGTCTGTGTTTGTGTGTCTGTGGATGTATAATATGCACACACACATACACATACACATACGGAGTCATGGATCAAATCTCTCTCTCTCTCTCTCTCTCTAGTTTGATAGAATCAGAATCAGAATCAGAATCAGAAACCTCCCATGAACCTAGTACAAATGCACACAAAAAAGTGCGTTTTTCTACTATTTCAGATTGACCCATATGTCTGACTTCCTTAAGGCCCTCAAATAAAAATAAATAAGCTTTTTTTTTCATACAATAGATAGAGACCAGATTAGTGACATTTTGAATCATTCTGATTAGAGTTCCTGCAAAACTGATAAGTATTTAAAACTCGACAAAAAAACTTGAGAGGCAGCAAAGGAGTAGTGGTTGCGGGCACACATTATCAATCAAGGAGGGAGGGAGAGAGAGAGAGAGAGAGAACTTTTATACATATGACACAACACCATGAGATAAATTAAGTTTTATCACCTCCAACAAAACATTTCATTAGCATTTACCTCTTTGTAAGAGACAAATCCAAGAAAGACAATTCAATAAGCAAAAACATTTCTATCATGTAAATCTGGAAGTACAGAAAGATCAAAATCGAGATGAAAGTTAATAAAAGGATGAGTCAGATGGAGTATTCATATCCACAATGGCAGTATGTTTTTATCGTTGTGGACTTCCCTTTGAGCTGATTAAAAACAAATGTCAAAGGATATGTGATGGCGTAACCCGAATTGTATGAGTAATGAATCGTGATTATGCTTTTCAGTGATGATGTTGTGATAATGAAAGAAATGTTTTTCTAGGGGCTGGGAGGATTAACATAGAAGAAGTATAGTGATTCACCAGCTCGGAAGCTCGGTTAATCCACTATTTAATGGAGACTCTTGCTCCTTGTCTTTCAATAATGATGATTGCAAGAGTACAATGACTAATTTTTGCCTCTAAGGTCCCCCCATTTCCTTGGAGGCGTTACATAGTATTTATAGGACTGTTCCCTATTCAGTGGGATCTTGGCCGAGATTCTTACCCTTATTTCGTGGAGTTCTCCTAGATTATACGAGAAGATCTTAGTTGGTCAAGATTAGGTGTCTTGATTATAGCTTCCTAACGCTTTAGGAACCCCTTGTGGTTATTCAGCCGTTGCCTTGCCTCAAGAGACATTCAGCCCTTGCCTTCTGACCTCAGTTAATATGGCTGACCTCCCGGTCTGAGCTGACCTCCTGGGCTGAGCTGACCTCTTGAGTAACACTTGGAATTTACTTTAGGCATCATCAGTTGCCCCCCAGCCCTTGGCCCAAGTGAGCTTGGGCATGGGCTGAGCTGCTTTCGCATTGGACTAGGCCTGCACCTAGCTGACCTTAGTCCGCATGTGAGATGCACGTGGGGGGCTCTTTGACGGTTTACAACAATCATGGCTTTCTCGATTCCCGCGCATGTTTCAGCCCACGTCACTCAAGCTTTAAATGCTCAATCGACTGCTCAAAAAACAGCTCAAAACTCCCTGTTCATCTTCTACGTTATTCACCTTTGTCTCCGGCTCTTTCTCTCTGCGATTTCTGGGTTTTCCTCCACGCGATTCTCTTATTCTCTTCTCAAAACTGTGCTTTCTGGGTTCGACTCGAAGTCCTGTTTTGCTCTTCTCCTCCAATTTTGTTCTTTGGCAGCTGTTTGTTACTCTCTTCCCTGTCTAGGTACGCTTCCTTCCGCCCCTTTTTCTTTCTCTTGCCTTTCCTCACTCTGGATCCCTCGACTTCGAGGTGGCCATTGTTTTTCTGGGTTTTTCGATTCTTTTTCTTTTGGAATCGCGATCGTTGCCTATCTCCTCTTCCCCACTTTGTGGATTGGAACTCCACTGTGCGAATTCTTACTGTCGGGAGGTACAGTGCTGACCTTAGGATTATCAGGGGGTGTTTATTTAGTATTTCTTCTTTTTATAATTCTTTCGATTTGCCTTTCTCTTTGCCAATCATGTCTGTCTTCTCTGGAGCAACTCCCTCCTCTGTTTCCCTCCTAGGCGACAGGTCTGCAGAGAGAGATTCTGATTTAGGGGATGTAAGTGATGAGATTGACAACTTTCCCGGTGTTTAGATTGTCGATACCGAGGTGAACTCCAAGGAACTCCCCTCATTTTCCTCTCATGTACCTCCTAGTGCTGACAAGGGTAAGGGCAAGGTGAGCGAGGTTGGGATTCTTGATAGTACAGCGGGTATGGGGGCTGCCTTCAGGCATGCTGAGCTCGTGGGTCCCATGGGGTGGATCCTATTCTCATGGAAGCTCTTAGTGCTCGTTTTGGTTTCCCCCCTGGTGTTCAGCCCTGGTGCCCGGATAAACTCACCCCATACGTTGCCCAAGTGCACAAAAGAGTTTGTTTCTTTGTGGCCGTTTTCGAGAATGGCCTTCGTTTCCCTATGCACCCCTTCATTAAAAATGTTCTGCAGCACCTCAAAGTCTGCCCTGCTCAGCTTTCTCCTAACTTCTGGGGTGTTTTAGTGGGTTTTTTAGTTTTTTTTAAGAAGCATGGGCTTGGGACTCCCACCATTTCTCTGCTTATGGACCTTTTCAATGTCAAGCTTACCTCAACTGAGGGCTTTCTATATGTTTCTAGGCGGACCTTGTCCAGGCAGATCATCACACATCTCCCGAGTTCTCATAAAGGCTGAAAAAAGAATTTCTTTTTCGTTGGGGGTGTCAACTGGGAATACAACCTTGCTGATAAAACAGACACTCTTGGGATTCTCAGAGCCTGGTCAGTCCCAGATAACTTAGGTGAGTTCTTGCCTGACCGAACTGCGGTTTGAAGATTTATGAGTTGTTTTCCCGACCTCTGCATTTTTGGTGTTCCTCCTTTCTTAGGCATTCGACCTGAACTCAGCGCCGAGGACAAGCGGGTGAAACTGAAGTTGACTAAGTGTAATCCAGAGAGGTACTCTGAGCTCCTTAAGCCCTAGGAATTAGAAAGGAAGGGATTCGGCCCTCCTCCAATCTCACTTTCCTTTATCCGACCTGAGGACATAGAAGATAATGCTCTTTCCCTTATTTGGTTTCATTGCTTTCCTCCCTTTCTTTTTCCTTTTGATTAACCATCTCAAGCCAAATCTCCCAGGGTCCTCTACAATGAAGCCTACCCCTGAGATGCTCCATGCTAAGGTAGAGCTATTGAAGAAGAAAAACAAGGGTGGTACCAAACGTAAGGCTGAGGGCAGTTCTAGTGAGAGCCTAGTTACTCGAGCTAAAGTTTAGAAAATGGGTACTTCCTCTGCCTCTGCCTCTATCCAAAAGGCTCCATCATCCCCCCTACATGCTTCACCAACCTCAGGACTTCCTCTCTCCCAAGGGACCCGACCTGCCATTGAAGATGCTCTTGGGCGAGACCAGTCCTCCCCTTCTCCATCTGAAGTTGAGAGGGCCCTGGAGACTACTCGCATTTTCCCTGGTCGTGCTGCTTCTACATCAACCAAGGAGACCTCCCAACCTCTCATGACTGGCAAAGGGGTCTTCTCGAAGTCTGAGAATTCTCTTATTACCAATGTGAAACATGCTGCAGAGGTCATTGCCTCCATTATCCCAGAGTTTGACATTGATGCGGCCATTTCTGTACCCCTGGGAACCTGTGTTTTCACTACGCTGTATGGCTGTACCTCGGTGAGATTCTAATTTGTCAAATTCTCCTCTTTTTTTTTTTTTTGGTTGTCCTGCGCTCTTCCCTTTACACTAATCTTTCATGCTTGTCTTTAGACCGCCATTCAAATAAGCAGCTTGTTAAAGCGAATCCAAGCCCTTGAGGGGTCGGCCAATGCTTCCAAAGCTTTTGAGCTGAAGTGTGTCAATCTGGCCTTTGAGAATAATGACCTTAGGGTCCAGGTAAAGGAGTTGCAAGAGAAAGTAGAGCAGTAGTCTTCCCTTGCCAAGTCCAGACAAGAGGAGCTCAGTAAGACTAAAGAAGACCTTCGATTAAAAATCGATGACTGGATCGAGGAGAGCCGGAAGTTCCTTAATGCTTTGGCTTCCTTCAGGAACATGAAGAAGGAGTACAAGGTGCTAACAGAGGCCAATGATGCTGTCAGGGAGAAGTTAGGGGTTGTCAGGGAGGCGCTAGAGGTGCGAGACACTACCATCCAAAAAAAAGATGAGTTGATTGCCCAGCTAGAGGATGATTTTCTCACCAGGTGGGCAAAAGGGTGGATCGCTTTCCAGGATATAGCTGAAAGGACTTATCCTGAACTGAACTTTGACTTTTCAATTCCCCCTAAGAAAGAGGCCAAGGGGTCTGATGAAGAAGAGGATGATGCTCCTGCTCCTCCTGTTTCTAAAGATGTGCCCATAGATTCTGGAGGGCTCATTCCTCTAGGTGGGACTTCAGCTCAAGATGCTTCTGCCTCCTTAGACATCTTTACTCCTCTGGCTGCTGAGCCTACTTCTTCCCTCCCTGCTGCGCTGGCCACAAGAGCCTTGGTTGAATCTGAGGTCCCTGCCTTTTTGCCTGCTCTTGGCCCTCATGAAACTTCAACTGTTGTTGTGCCAGAGAGGTCACCTGCTAAGCTGGAGAGCCCTTCTTCAATTCTTCGTGCTGAGACATCAACTACTACACTGCAGGGCCCTTCATCTACTCTCCCTTCAAAAACTTAGGATTTGTAACTTTGGGCTAATTATCTCAGAATTGTAACATTTTGAAACGAAAATTTCAGAATTGTAGCATTTTGTATCTTTAATTTACTGCTTATAGCTCTCCTTCTT